AAAAAAAAAAAAAAAAAAAGAAAGAAAGAAAGAAAGGCTTATAATGAAAACATACTTATTTTACTACTATTAAAAAATAAGAAACAACATATGATTTAACGTTATGTTAAATCACTATTCAACCTTAAATTAAAATTAGACGTTAGGGTAAATTTAATTATATAAATATTTCACCTTCATTTTGTTGATTTTGGAAATTAAAATTACAAAAATTAAGCGTTTTTTGCCATTCATTTTTAAAATTCTCTAAGTGTTTTTTTAAATTTAAATTTAAAGGACTTAAAAAAAAATTCCAAAACTAATAAAATTTAAAATTTAAGTTATTTGGTTGAAAGAAGATTATAAAAGGTTACTTGGTTTGGTTTGTATAGGCATTAAGCAAAGCATGGAGCCAAGCTTGTTCGCGTGATGGAGGTGGTGTAGTTTTAGTACCAGATGGGAGGTTTCTAATTTTTTCGTTGGTGCTTAAAGGTCCATGCAAAGGATCCATTGGTCTACGGATTAATGGCGAATTGTTGGCTCCTATCGATCCAAATTTCGCTGTTGCCCAAATCTGGCTGAGTATCAATGAAGTCGACAACTTATTTGTCGATGGTTATGGCAGCTTGAACGGTCGCGGTTCTTTAGCTTGGTCTATCAAAAAGTTTAACCGTCCAATTGTAAGTTCATTTTTTTGGATTCTTTGGTTAAAGTGTTAGATGGAACTCGAATTTTCACTTTTTTTTTTTTTTAAGTTATTTGTTTAGTGACCGTGAAATTGTTTCTATGTAGTCTGTGAAACTCTTTAGAATCAACCATGCGAGAATTACGGGTATAACATCGTACAATAGCAAAAACTTCCATTTTGGTGTGCATGGATGTAATGACGTCACGTTTGATCACATTAGAACAATGGCTCCAAAAGATAGCCCCAATACAGATGGAATCCACATTTCCAAGTCAAGTGGTATCAACATTATGCATTCAAGATTCGACACCGGAGACGATTGTATCTCTTTGGGCCCTGGAAGTAGATTCATCAACATAACAAACATCCATTGTGGTCCAGGTCACGGAATCAGCATCGGCAGCCTTGGAAAATACCCAAATGAGGAAGATGTCTCTGATGTTTTAGTAAGAGACTCCACATTTGTTGGTACAGACAACGGTGTGAGGATCAAAACATGGTCGTCTTCACTTCCAAGTTCTGTTACCAAGATCGCTTTTATCAATCTCGAAATGAAGGACGTCAAAAGCCCTATCATCATTGATCAAAAATATTGCCTTGACTGCAACAGAGATAAAATGGTATATATATTCAAATTTGATAGTCGTTAGGTAAAGTAAAACTGAAAATGGTATTAATGAATGTTGTTTGTGGTCGACAGAGTAACTCAAGAGTGAAGATTCGAGACGTGAGATATGAAAATATACAGGGGACTTCAGCAACCCAAGTAGCAGTAAATTTTGAATGCAGCCAAGTTTTACCATGCGAAGGCATAGTGTTGCAAGACATTAACCTCTCCTTCAATGGTCGTGGCCAACCAACTTCCATCTGTCAAAATGTGAAGGGCCATGCTTTTGGCAAACAATTTCCAAACTCTTGCCTTTAATTACTTTTGTGTTCTTCGTTCTTCCTTAAATTAAAAATAATTAGAACCCAAAGTAGGTTCCATACAGTAATAATATATATATCTTTCTTTAGATAACTTGAAATTCGTCCCAATATTACTATATAGTATATATATATATGATGGTAGATATACATATACCCACATAATTCTTCAAGTGGGTTAAATATTTACGAATTGTTTAATTTACTCAGAAGTAAAAAAAGAAGAAAGTACAATAGAGTAAACACAACACACGATCGACCATGTTCTATTTGTTCCACCATAGATGTAACTCAAAAAAAATTGGTCGTTGGCTCTCTACGTGAATCGTTGAACAGAGCAAGTTTTTGTTGTTAGTTGTCTCCCTGCTTTGTTCACATTGTTGGGGCTTTGTTCACATTGTTGGGAAAGGGAGAGTTGTGGAGAAACCCGCAAACAAAGGAGGCTACATGGGAAAGGGAGGACGAAACGAGGGAGAAATACCCATAACTATTTCTTAATATAGACACTTTCGAGGACCAATGTCTTTTTTAGGAGGGTATAATGTAAAGATAGATATTTTAAAAAAAAAAAAATCGAACTTCGCTGAAAATCGCCAGATATCTGGCTAGGCGGTATTTTCGCAGATTCAAACTACTCCGCGCCCCTTCATAAACTCACAATCTTGCCCTCACTCTAAAACTTACACAAGTAGCCGAGAGAGAAAAGAGATAGAGAGAAAGAGAATCCTCACCGACGAATCTTACGCCGATGACGTAATTTCTTACTCTTCAAGAAAGCCTCGATGTCGTAGTGGATGTACCAGATCATAAGGAGTGTCGTTCTCACCATTGATAGCGTTATTGAACGAAGAAGGCGTCATCGGAGATAAGTCATAAACGATCTTCAAGAGAATCATCAAGAGTCGGGTTGAGAATATGAGATCCACAGGTTGAACATTCAGACTCGGGTATGGCCCATGGACCCACTCGCAACCCGCTTCAACCCGACCCAGAAGCATACGACCCACGACCAAACAGCCCAACCACTCTTCCACTGCCTAGACCGAACGCGTGAAGCCTGATCCGCTCATCGACCAAAAGTGTAAGTGACGACCCACGCCCCCTCAACACCACACGTGCCTTGCACGTGTCCTGCTCCCAATCATGGCTCTACTTGATGGCTTAGACGGCTCAATATTCGTATTTTAAACCTTATTGAAGCTATTTGAGGTAAGCAAGACTTCTTTTTGCTGAAAGTAAACACTTTTGAAAAAATTAAGAGTAATCAATTCACTTAGGTATTTGGTCGTGGGTCGTATGGAATGTTTAGTGTTCATTACCATTTTACTATGCATTTAGTTCAATATCATGCAATTTGGTGCAACAAATGATGGACAGATCGATAGCATTCAGGTAAACCTTCTTTTTTTCCTTTTCTTATTTCATTTTGTGATATTCTATGTCGACTAAAGACGAGAACGAAGCATTTTTTTTATAAGGGTATAGAAACCTTTTCCTAACATATGTGTCTTAAACCAAAATAGACAATATTTATTAACTATGGACTTGAGTTATTACATGTTCTATATTTCTTTTAAAAGATTTTGAGAAACAGAAGAGTTAGAAGCCGAAGCGTTCTTAAAATGTTTATGTTATTTTCAAAATGTGGTAGTGAAACAATAAGGTCGTGGTTCTTAGGTTTCCTTTCTTGTTTTTCTTTTTTTTTTTCTTTGTTTTATTATTGATCTCATCGAACAAATATTTTCAAAAATCTAAACAATTTTTTTTTATAAAAAAGATATATGTAAAAAATAAAAAAGGTTAGTTTTTATTTTGGAATTATGAACAATCCCATGTTTTTTAGGAGGCAAAAAAACTACAAAGGAAAACAATATTGATTTTGTTTCTAGGTTAAGAAAATAAAAAGCTTTTTTTATCATTATTTACTTATAAAATCCGTAAAAATAAATTTAAAATCAAGATTTTGGAAATTTAATTTTAAAATCTAATTTTTATATCATTTTGAATAATAAATTTAAAAATACATAAAAAAAATGGGGAAAAATGGAAAGAAAGGCTTATAATACAAACATACTTATTTTATTATTATTAAAAAAGAAAGAAACAAGAAATTATAAGTTATAGTAAATTTAGTTATATAAATATTTCAACATGTTAGGCACATTCATTTGGTTGATTTCAGAAATTAAAATTATAAAATGTCCTTCATTTTATAATTTCTAAGTGTTTTATTTAATTTAAATTTAAAAGATTGAAAAGAAAAAAAAAGTCCCAAAATTAATAAAATTTAAAATATAAGCTATTTCAACATGTTAGCTGGTTTGTATAGGCATTAAGTACCCCATGGAGCCATGCTTGTGGACGTGTGTGGTTTTAGTACGAGACAGGAGTTTTCTGATTCTTCCGTTCGTGCTTAAAGTCCATGCAATCCCTGATTCTTTCGCTGGTGCTTAAAGGTCCATGCAAATGATCCATTGGTCTACGGATTAATGGCGAATTGTTGGCTCCTATCGACCAATATTTTGCCACTGGCCAAACTTGGCTGAGTATCTATGAAGTTGACAACTTTTTTGTCGACGGTTATGGCAGCTTGAACAGCTGCGGTTCTTCAACTTGGCTTTTCAAAACTTCTAACCATCCAATTGCAAGTCCTTTTTTTCGATTCTTTGGTTAAAGTGTTAGATGGAATAGGAATTCACTTTTTCTTTTCATTTTTTTTAGTTAATTTTTATTGACCGTGAAAGTTTTTATATGTAATCTATGAAACTCACTAAAATCAACCATGCGAGAATTACGAGTATAACATCGTACAATAGTAAATACTTCCATTTAGTGTGCATAGATGTCAATATGTCACGTTTGATCACATTAGAGCAATGGCTCCAGAAGATAGCCCTAACACTGATGGAATCTGTAACGACCCAAAATTTTCTACTTAATTTAAGGTCGCTACTATATACGTACCATAAACATTGAATGCGGAAGACTTCATTTAAATTCCATAAAACATAACCTTTAACTAAAAACACTGCCATGGACTTACGTGTTTCGAAAACATTTTTAAAACGACACAACAAAAGACTCGAAATAAAATAAATAAGCGTTTAAGTTTAAAACATCCTATTCTATCCTAAGTCTAAGAATAAATACCACTATCTTATGCATGTGTCATGATCTCGAGTTGCGATGCCGTCGTTAGCCGTACAGGAATGCCTTGCCTTAACTTGAAAAATGTAGTAGCACATGACTTGAGTATTTAAAGAAATACTCAGTAAGTGACCCCACTATTAGGGTTAAATGCAACAATCACATGCAATAAAATGATGGGACCTATCTTTCATTTCGTTTCGTTTCATTTCGTTTCATTTCGTTTCGTTTCTTTTTCGTTTCGTTTCGTTTCGTTTTCCCTACGGTGTAATCCTAACAGGTAATTGTGAACATGTACCATATACTCTACACGCAGCTCATACGTGCGAGTATGGGCTCACCAGCTAGTTCGCACACCGCTGGGCCACTGTCCCTAGCCGATGGGCATGCTCTAGGGACCCACCGAGACCCGTTAAAACTAAAACCGTCACGGCAGCGCTATGCAGGGCATAACGATCGTTGTTCTGCCATTTGGATGTACGCGGCCGTACCCTCGTGATGGGATAGGGGTATCCCCCAAATGCATGATCACGCAATATGCATGAGGTCCCACTAGTCCTACAGTCATCATTTAATGAACATAACCCCGTGTCCCGTTTTCATGCTTACGTGTCATTCTCATTCTCATTTCGTTACATATCATACATATTCCTAGCGGGGTTATGTATCATGCAATTTACCGTATTTCATGTCATACAATTCATTTAGTTACATTTCAATACTCATACAACAAGCCATAATCGTACAAGGACCACACATCGTCACATGCATTCATATCACATCAACTAAGCAGCATAAATAACATACATTCACGTTCACATGATTTCGTACTTAAGCACCATAATCTAGCATACAATGTATCATATCATAACCAAGTCAATAACGTAAACACTTCATAGTCATATCGTTCTCTAACTTACCATAGCCTTAACGTTCTTATACCTATCACAGACATATCATTACGTGACGTACCTTAGTCATATCGTCACAAGAACGTACTCTAATGCTATCGTTCCATCAATCTATCACAAACCTATCCCTTTCTACCCATAACCTAACCATATTCTTTCATCAATCTCTCCTATCCATAGCACTCCGGTATGTAACCTAACTCCAACGTTTCATGAACGTATCTTACTTCTATCGTTACATTTCGTTTTGTGCATCCTTCTCGTATACTATCTCAAACATCTCTTAGAGCACATCGTACCATAATTATTATCATACAATCCACATATTATAACATAACATAACATATAGAAAGCATATCGATCCACAGACAATTCACACATATCAATATATATGACACGTTCCGAACCACAGGGCACTTGTCAACTTCAAATATAACCATGCCGATAGTAAGGTCACTTACCTGGCCAGCTTAAGTCGTTGTCACGAATATATCTTTAATTAAAGTTCAATTCCGTCCTTTGAAATCCGAGTCAACCTATAGGAGCCCATGACATTAGTTTCAGGTTTGAACTCTACAACATTATTTCTCTAATTTACATTGGTCCATTGTTAAAAGTCTGAAATGTTATATATC